TAGAGGGAACTGCTGCTTTTTCTTTCCTCATCCTTACTATCGTCATTTTTCCTCTACTTCTTTTGTATGTTTGTCACTCTCTTGTGACCTGCTATTTCCGGGGTGCCTTGATAGTCGAAGCAGACTTTGTGCTGTTGAGGCTAGAGAGGTGAGCAGAGTAAGTCTGATTCCCTGTAAGGACTTCTCTGTTGACATCCACGCCTTGGTGTTCATATGACCTTATGACCTTATGCAGTTGCGAGCGCCGTAAAACCCTCTACTAAACCTAAAAAAACAAGAGAAGGTTTCGGGTCAGCAGAGTCCTTTCGGCTTTGTCTGGTGTCTTTCCTTGTTCCTGCTACTGCGGTTTTCAAATTAGTCACCTGAAGTTGGGAAGTGAGAAACACAGTCATGAGATCTCTCCAAACAGCTGAGTGTGACAAGGGACTCATAATGTGTTCCTACAGTTGTCTTGTTTTGTCTGTCGCCTGGACCAACTTTCTGTGGCTGTGTCTTCTGGACGGACTGTGGTGTGTCTTGTAGGGCGACTCTCTTCTCCACAGAACACAAGTTGTACATGAGAAAGACAAAATGTTACTGGAATTACAACGGTTGAGGGCAAATATTATGATATAATAACAAGATATTATGATATAATAACAAGATATTTTGATATGATAGCAAGATATTATGATATAATAGCAAGATATTATGATATGATAAACTATAAAACTAGGAGACAGATATAGTTATATTGGAATAACTACAGTAAAGGAGATAGAAAGATATCTTGTTTTGTTTTGGGTTCATGAAGTGTAAGAATATTTTGTTTTCTGTCGTCAGGTCAGGACCTGGGCCCCACAGAGGAGGGAACTAGCATCTCCCGCACCTGTGCTTATAATACTGCTGCAGGTAACGCTAACTTGGTGTGGGAAGTGCAGCTGGCAGCAGTAAAAAGAACAGTAGCAACATGTGTGACACTTCAAGTACCTTACAACTGTACTGTGTCCTCGGGGTTTTCCTCCTTGGTCAACGTGACCACAGACCAGACACAGGCTACACTCACGTGGAACGCTGACACGAGGTATTTGGCTGTGTCTTGTACACAAAATGCTGGTCTGACAGGAGCTCTGATAGCCAGCTGGACTCTGGTGACTTACTGTGAGTACTGGGTGGTTATGTCAGTGCATGTGTGTATGTGTGTGTGTGTGTGTGTGTGTATGTGTGTTTGTGTGTGTGTGTATGGGGGTACGTGTGTGTGTTTGTGTGTATGTGTGTGTGTGTCTGCTTGTGTATCTGTGTGTGTTTGTGTGTGTGGATGTGTGTAGGTGTCTGTGTGTGTGTGTGTGTGTGTGTGTGTTTGTGTGTGTCACAAACATCCCCTCAGTCCGAGAGTGGTTGCTTAAAAATTGACCAGTTTTCCGGATAGATGACATTGTACCAACCCATAGTGTTTTTGTTTTAAAGCCTCGAAACCCCAACAAGCGAAAACGGAAACGAGAATCCGGTCTGTCAAGGACTCATTTATGTTTGTAAAACCATGTGTGAAAAGTCAGTGATTTCCTGTGCTTTTTATATATTTTTGTTGTTCGCTGACCAGAGATCAGTGCACATAAATACTAAGCTTGTTAATGTTATACATGTGCGCTCAAAACCATTTATCATACTTTATACCTCCCCCAACGATCACATAATATGCTTATACACACACACACAAATATAAACGCGCCTGGACTCCTCGTGTTCAGGCACAGTAGTACCTCCCGGGGCGGTGCTACTGACTGAAGTGTCTTAAGGATATTCCCAAACGGGGGACATTTCTCGTTCTAATGCACTGTAGAATTGTAAATTGGCTGATCCAACAATGTTATGCTTATAACTGTGCCTGAACTACAACAGAGAACTGCTGCTTTTTCTTTCCTAATCCTTACTATCGTCATTTTCCTCTACTTCTTTTGTATGTTTGTCACACTCTTGTGACCCGCTCTCTCCGGGGTGCCTTGATAGTAGAAGCAGACTTTGTGCTGTTAAAGCTAGAGAGATGAGCAGAGTAAGTCTGATTCGCTGTAAGGACTTCTTTGTTGACATCCACTCCTTGGCGCTCATATGACCTTATACAGTTGCGAGCGCCGTAAAACCTCTACTAAAACTAAAAAGGCACAGTAGCCCACCCTCCCCTTCCTTTCACACATATACATAAACACACAAAGCAGTGCAAACTAGCACATGCAATCTAGTTTTCCATTTGACTATCTATTAATTGCCTCTGCCTGTCTGTCTTTTTGTCGGTGTGCCCATCTCTGTCTGCCTCTCTCTCTCTGTCTCTGTCTGTCTGTCTGTCTGTCTGTCTGTCTGTCTGTCTGTCTGTCTGTCTGTCTGTCTGTCTGTCTGTCTAAC